TCGTGGAAGCAGTAGGGTTTGTTTCGGTGGTGTGAGTAAAGGGTTTTGAAAATGTATCATCTATCACAGCCAATATAGAATCATCCATATATCTAAAGCTATAGCTCGCGTGGTAGCATCGAATGCGTCTGTACGTAATAACAGGTGAAAGATCAGCAGTGGAACGAAACTTATACTGTTTGTCGCTCAGAAGGCTCTTTTTTATTGGTGAGAAAATACCTTCTTGTTGATAATACATTCAAGGTGTTTAGGACGGTATACGTGAGGAGGCGCTGCAAAGTGCTAGGCCGGACCTATTGCCCAAAATTGTACAAAGTATCAATATTTCAGACTTTGAGAAATCCCCTCTTTGGTGGGGCAAACGTAAAAGAAAGAGCAAAACAGATGTACCATAAAATGTCAGCACATTTGAAAAAAAAGAAAATGACACATGGACAACAGAAGAAAGAACACATAAAAAAAGGCTAAAAATCATATATATATTTAATAAACCTGCTGACTGTTTCGATAATAGCTTTCAAAAACTATGGCCTGAAGCTGTCTGACCCAACGCAGAAAATCTATAGCCTAAAGCTGTCTGACAACACAAATTTGTTCGCTCACTAAACAGGACAACTTGCATTGATTTATCTGCATCACATATGTTACATTTCTTTTTAGAAACCCTGTATGAAGTTCCACTTATCTATCATATCGTAGTTATTCAGTATCGGTATACTCATTCGTATCTATCTATCTATCTATCTATCTATCTATCTATCTATCTATCTATCTATCTATTTCAGTCTGTTCCTATCTATCTATCTATCTATCTATCTATCTATCTCAATCTGTTTTTATCTATTTCACTTTGTTCTTATCTATCTATCTATCTATCTATCTATCTATCTATCTATCTATCTATCTATCTATCTCAGTCTGTTCCTATCTATCTATCTATCTATCTATCTCAGTCTGTTCCTATCTATCTATCTATCTATCTATCTATCTATCTATCTATCTATCTCAGTCTGTTCCTATCTATTTCAGTTTGTTCCTATCTATCTATCTATTTAATTTTAAAGGCATGTTATTAAGTTATTATACGTTACAAAATTTATTATACCATACAAAATCTATCTATTTCAGTCTCTTCCTATCTATCAATCAATTTTTCATAGACCTCTTTGAGAAGTAATCGATTGATGGTACCTCTCCTGCATGAACAACAATTCTGTTTAACGTGACGACAGAAATATCATATTTCTTTCCTCATCTCTACGTAGATGAAATCTCTCTACCCTACTACGAGTCGGAAACATCCATTGGAACTCAACTGATGATGCCATAGATCTCAAGTCCATCCCCAGTTTTTCGCCCACTCAATCGACTGAATTTCCATGATTTCACCATCCAACATTTGTTATGTTCTTCTTTTCAAACCCGGCATCAAATTCTCTTTCTGTTTCCTATCGACGTTCTTGTAAATTTTATTATATTTTGCTTGCAAGCGTTTTCCAAATACGCACTTTACGATATATTCTCTTCTTCTCAAAAAACTGCTGGACAAATTTGAAATTGAGTGAAATCATTTTCTTATAAGATTTTGATTTAATTACAGTTCATTGAAATGTTATCTTCCTTTTACTCTGTCATATGTGCCGTCATTTTTCGATTGTAGTGTCATATAATCTAGAAAAAAAGAAAGGAAATAATTTACAAAATTGTGATCAGTACGCATGCGTGCTAAAATCCGTTTTTAATTTATTTAACCACTGAAGTTTATCATATTTATATATGCCAATATACATACACAGGTTATTCCAAACTTTGCATCATTGATTGCACACAGCTGTCCTCACTGCATACACCTCAGGAAGGGCGTGGTGCTATAAATGTTCAGGTTTTTTCGGCGCCTTTGGTTTGTACAGGGTCATCTAAAAGTCGTATTACCATTTGATAACCTTATAAATTTTATTGTTATTTACCAAATGGAAACGTGTGTCTGTTTGTGAACACAATATATTATTAAGACATTATATTGCACGAATTATGGAAGATGATCTCATGCAAATTTCCATTTTGTTGAGATTTCACAAGTGTATGTTTTCTGCCAATTGTCGCTTGACGTTTGGAACACCTAGTATATATTTGTGCAGTGAACTGCGTTTGGAATACAAGGTGATACGTAGAAACGTAAAATGTATAACGGATTTCATATAAATATTTCAACTCAACGTAATTTTATGTTTATTTTGTTCTATGTTTTATTTTGTTTAACTTCATTTACTGAAATATATACTTCAAATTAAATATTCAGCTTATTACAATTTAAATCTCTGTAACTATTAATAATAATTTATTTAAATTCTTACAACTAAAAGAACTGTAATTAAAGGGAATAAATTACTTAAAGATAAAATACTTGATATACATATGTATATATTGATTTACTCATTAACGCAAATAATATTTTAAACTAATGATATTTTAATTTTAAAGGCATGTTATTAAGCTATTAAACGATAGAAAAATGGCCGACGACTTATTGTTAATATTATCATTGCGATTGCTGCTGTCATGATTACTATTATTGTGTTATTGATTTGCATATTATGTAACTGGTATTTACAGGTATAATTGCATTGTTATTGTCATTGTTTAAATTTCTTTTTACACAAATCTAGATTACTTTGATTTTTCATTTCTGTTTCATTTTTTTTAATGGCGTCTTCGTTTGAAATACTATAGCGTCTCCTTCCCTTAGAAGTCAGTAAAGCAAATTGCTGAAATTTACAAGACAAATACTGCTGATAGGAAGAAGAAAGGAAACAGAATGAAATAATAATAATAATGATAATTATTGTAGTAATAATAATAGCGATAATAGTATTAAATAATTTGTATATAAGTGTATGTATGTATGTGTGTGTACTTGTATATGTATATGTATATATATACATATATACATAAAATTGATTATCTCGTCGGTTTCGATGTATGAGGATCTGACAGCTTAATTGATTCAGTTATGAAATTTTGTGCGATAATCTTAAGTGACACTTAAGACCCGCTAGTGATTTACAAAGGAGGCCACATATGCAGCAAGAGTGAGGATTGTGAGATGAGATCACTTTTAGATGGGCTGACCTTTTAGATCATGCTCTCGCTTCTTGAAAATGATTCAGACAAGCAGATTGAAAACTGCTGAGTCCACTAAAACACGTTGATTTCCATTCTACCCGCCCCAAGGCTAAGCGCCCAAGTGTGTTATGTGATATATTGACAGCTGACAAGTTGCTTTTCAGCTTGTCTTTGTATCTTAGCCATGGGCGTCCTACATTACTGTAGACCTGATCTAACTGGCTGTACATTAGGATCTTAAATATGTATTTAAAATTTGTGTATTTAGGTAATGATCTTTCTTTCATGCACATTTCATTAAATACGACAGAAATATGATAGAAATTATTAGGAGGATTTGATAATTATATTTAAGTAATTCATCGAGTCTGAAACCTCAACAGAATGCAGAAAGCACTGGACGGCCATTTCGTCCTATATTTGGGACTCATCAGCAGTGCACATCCACTACCGAGAATGGAACAGTTGGTATGATGTTTGCTTGATAACCTAACTGTCAAAGTTTCAATTCTCGGCAGTGGATGCGCACTGCCGATGAGTCCCAAATATGGAACAGGTAGTACTGGTTTACATATAAAATAATATATTGTGAAAGGAGCTTGAAAATGGAGATGTGGAGCAAAGTATATTCAAAAGCACAAACTACCCTATGTGCGTGTGTATATATCGATTAGTATAAAACCTCTAATGTTAGATTAATAGTATTTTAATTTTAGAGACATGTTAAAAGTTGTAGTATTTGTTGTTATACCTGATATGTAATTGGTTCCTACTAGTTTTATTAATTTTAGACGCAAATAATAAGTTTCTTTCTTTTTACCTGATTCGGGCAGAGCATTGAACATTTACTGGACTCTTATTATTGACAATAGGAAGAAGAAAGAGAAAAATAAGAGTGATGATAGTGGTGATGATGGTGGTAGTGGTGATTATGATGATAGTGACTTATCGGTTATTTATTTATTAGTTGAAGTCAGGCTGCTTCTGGTGCTAGTCAAAGAAGAACAAGGACTGGTTTGATGATAGCAACGTGGAAATCTAAGAACTGCTGCTGAGGAATAGATCAACTCAGCAAGTCCACTTACCCAGTTTGTCCAGTAAAGAAATCTGAGTTCCGTTTCATATGCCGAAAGATGTGAGTGATTAAGAACGTGTGCAGGATCAAACTCACTGATCCACACACTGGACACATCAGAGGCTTATATGAAGCTTTAAAAGCGGCATACAGTTCCGTGTCCAGACTTCTATGCGCAGGGCAAACGGTCAGATGCTCCTTAACATCTGGGCGTGCATCCTAAACCGTTGGTCGGAGCATTTCCATACCCTATTCAGTGATAATCGCTCGGTCCAGGATCAAGGAATTCTCCGCGTGCCCCCAAAATCAGTAAAAATGGAATTAGATGGGTTTGCTACTAGTGAAAAAGACTATCAAAGCCATAAAGCTGCTGAAGTGTGGAAAAGCAGCAGGAGTCGATGGAGTCCCACCTGAAATCTGGAAACATGGGGTTCCGGTGATGCATATGAAACTTCACGAGATCTTTTGCTGTTGCTGGGGACAGGAATACTACCACAAAATCTCCGCGATGCGGTCATTATGGCCCTGTACAAGAACAAAGGGAAAAATCTGCTCCAATTTCCTAGGAATTACTCTGCTCTCCATCGCAGGAAAATTCCTTGCAAAGATTCTGTTGAATAGACTGGTACCCACCGTCCATAGGGTTAGTGCGGTTTCAGAACCAACAAGAGCACAACAGACATGGGGTTTCTTCCTAGGCAACTGCAGGAAATGTGTCGGGAGCAAAACAGGGGTTGTATATCGCGTTCGTTAATCTGACAAAGCATCCGACACAGTGAGCAGAAGATGAATGTGACAGATCATGAAGCGATTAGGCTATCCTCCAAAATTCCTGAACAGGATCATCCAGCTGGTTGAGGATCAACGTGGCCAAGTTAGAAGCAACACTGATCTCTCAGAACCCTTCTCGACCAACAACAATGTAAATCAGGATTGAGTCCTGGCACCGACTCTTTTTTCTATCTTCTTCAGCATGATACTCAAATAAGCCACGAAAGAGTCTACATCAGATACCGTCTCAGTAGTGTCCTGTTTAATCTACGACGATTAAAAGCGCACACTAAGACCGTGGAGTAACTTACCCGAGACTTGTTTGCCGACGATGCTGTCTTTGTTGCCCACTCAGAAGGTACTTTGCAGCGCATCAGTTCATGTTTTACAGAGGCTGCCCAAGTCTTTAGGCTTGAAGTCAATTTAAAGAAGACAGAAGGATGAGTACTGCCCTCCCCACCTCATCGACTGAAGTGAAGGCAGTCTATCGGTTTACCAACCTTAGGTTACTATCACGTCAGATAATAGGACTCAAAAAGAGGTCGATAACAGACTGGCAGGGGTGATCGTTGCATTTGGCAGACTATACAAACGAGTGTGGTCCAAGAGACGACTGAAGAAGGGCGTAAATATCAGCGTGTACAGAGCTATCGTCTCCGCCACTCTCATATACGGTTCAGAGTCGTAGGTCACTTACAACTCTTCAATCGGCCCATCAGTGCTACCTCTGCTCAATCCTTATACCTCCACTGGAGTGACTATCTCACCGATAGAGAAGTTCTTAAAAAGTTGAAGATCATCAACATCGAGGTCATACTACTGAAGTTCCAACTGGGATGGACATGTTTCCAGAATGAAGAAACGTCGCCTGCCTAAAATTTTACTGTACGCCTAGCTGTTCACTGGCTATTGTGAGAGACGGATACCAGAGAAGCGATTCAAAGTTTGCCTGAAAAATCTTTTTGTGCCTGTCAGATAGAACATTGCCAATGGTTCACTCTAGCTGATAACCGTATCGCCTGGTGGGAATTTACTAAAAATAGAGACGTTATATTCATACAGCATTATCAGGGAAGTGGGAGACAACGTTTAGGCCGGTGCGCATTATCGCTTGGCCATAAAGAGAGAGATGGTCAGGCGAATCCAATTTCATGCTTTCAAGCGAGATTTCCCTAAGTGTTTCATATCTGGACACAGTTTTGTAGTCTTATATAAACAAACAGATTTTTTTAGAATGGATTTCCTGCGGAAGAGCGCAAATCCTATTTTAATAAGATTTCTCGAAGAATCAGGCTGGTAGATAAAAATACAAAAAATATACTATTTAATTTATAAATGGAGTGCCTACTGGAATACGAGTATCCACTAATAATGTTTAAATATATATATATATATATATATATATATATATATATATATATATATATATATATATATAACAGCTATGGGTAAATAGCAGGACAGACTGGGTTCTATAACCTTGGATGGCAACAGGTCTAAGAGAAGGACAACTCTGAATTCAAAACCTGCGGAGGGACGTTTGGGAACCTTGTGGCACCTCGATGCACCAGGTCTCTGTATTCGTCCCTTCAAAAAGTGTGGATGGTCCTGCACGAAGCCTTCACCACTATAATCAAATCTCATGTGCCGGTGTCGGGCTGTCGGTTTCCTAGAAACTGATCTGCTTGATTCTCATACGTCGAAATCGACGGGAGAGTCGACTATATAACAGTGTAAAATGAGAACGAATAGAGTTCAATTCTGACGTTCTTAATATTCAATCAAAGTGGGCACAATACAAAAGTAGAGCAATATTCTTTTTTTTAAGATATTACATATATATATATATATATATATATATATATAGGTACGGAGTTAGATAAATCAAACGACGAGATATAAGCAACCGTATACGTGCGTATTGGCGTGCATTCACAGGCAAGCAAATAATTAATAATCACATTTATTCATGAGGTATAAACATAACAATGCTTGATGTGGCTAGAAAGAGCAAAGATATATATTAATAAGTATACATATAGATATACCTACGTTTTGGTGTGCGACTTTAGTTTCGCTGGTTTTCCAGCTCATCGGACACAAATTATATCTTATGTTTTTTTATAAAAGATACAGAAATGTCACATGGAAGGAACGCTGCTTCATAGACCCAAATAATAAAATAGTACAAATGCCGGTGATTAGGAGAAACTTGTTCTTACTCAGTTTTCGTTTTAACTGAATATTCCTTTCCTATAATAATTCCATTCTAGAGGCACTGAACATTGCAGAGTTGCATTCAAAAGACAGTATGGCGCCGGCGAAACAATCACATAACACAGAATAAACACTATCCAACAAAGAACAGCGAATCAGTTTCAGTATTCATGAAATTGCTGGATTCATCTTGGTGTTTACTCGTCTGTCTGCTGAACGTCAAAATATCGACCTATTCTTTACCAATCACAGACTTGTCGAACACAAGGAAAAAGAAGTTAACTTCTTATGTCTATTTATATCAAGTTAGGTGGCTTGGTGGATTTTACGACATATCAAACATTGTTGAGTTATTTAATGTCAAAATCTGTCTTTTTATTATACTTGAGTCTATAAGATAACATGTTAGCTATAAACTTGAGCCTTCTACTTAACTTTGCATCGGTTTATACACGAATCTATATGTAAACATTTATTGGATTTATACTTAAGTTTTATTGTTCTAACCACGCGTAGCCGAGTGGCTCCGAAAAAACGTACCTTTGGAAAGTACCTGAAAACCATACCAAGACTTGTAAGTGAAATTGTATAGATGGAGCAATTTGGGGGACATCGATGGTTGTGCTAACACGATGTCACAAGTCATCATGGCCGAGAGGTTGAGAGGGCTGCTTTGTCCAAAGTGTTGATCACGCCAGATAACGCACTCTCTCACAAAAACTGTAACTAATGTCCGCTCAGTAGCAGTGTAAACTACAGTTGGTCTTTGTGGGGTTGCAAAAACAAAAATGTGTCTGGGCAGGTGTCTGCAACAGGGATTAGCAAGCCAAAAACGTACTCACTATCTAAATGCAGCGTTTATTAAGTTTCAAACAATATTAATGGTTAAATTAAGAAATATTAATGTTTATCCACTTACGGAGACGATTAACGTTTTAAATGAAATATGAAATAAATTAAATACGTGTTTAAAATATTCAAAAACTCGACAAAAAGTGAATACATCTTTTTGGGACACCCTGTATATGTTAAAATTGTCCAGATTAACACTTCAGTTGGTAGGTAAACACTGGTGAAATTGAGTCTATATATAGGTGGGATGGGTAAATTGACGCCATTTTATATATTAATTACGCGCATACGCGTTGTTTGTTGTTGATTTTGTTGACAGCACAGTATAGTAGGGCCAATTGGTCACCGACTGCGAGAAAAAAGCTGTAATTCAATCCGCCATGAATTTGGAAACAACATACTGTACTGCTTGGCATTCACTCTGCAATCTCCAGTACGAACACTTCAAAGTGTTAACGTGTCAATCTGAAGACAGTGGAAAGCATTCGGAAAGAGTTGGATGAGTCTAATGGTGTTTACGGAAGCTCTGAAAAATCACTCTGATCGTTTTGATAATAATCGAACTCTCGAATTTGTAAGTGAGGGCTTCAGGCTCAACATGGAGGCCGATATCAAGTGCCTTGAGGATGTAGTGCTGCTGGAAGAGATTGGCTGCTGGAAGACCCTGCTTTTGGCAACAGGATTCTGCACTAAGTCACACAAGCAGAAGAAACCAGTAATTTTTACGACCTCAACTTCCTTGATGATGTATGCGTCGCAGTTGAATGATAGACCAACGAAACTACTTGTATCACCAAAAATTAACTGAAGGCAAGTAATATGGCAGCATTCACCAACTTAAACAAGGCGACCGTCTAGAAGGGTTGCATCAGATTCCAAAGTCGTCTGAAGCCTGTATGTTGAAGCCCATGGCGATTTTATTGAATACATTTACTATTTAGGATTTCAAGATAATTTTTTGTAATTTTGGCAAACATATCTGTTAAAATGAAATGTTAGTGTTATTTCCATATTTTGCGTAATTTCGACGACAATTTATCCATCGCACAGTTTATGAACATTGGTTAGGTTCATATTTCAGTTTATTTGTAAACATTTTTCGTGTTAATACCTGAGACTATACGTAAACATATTCCAGTTTATTTCTGTTTGTTCTCTTCGACAAAGACCTTCCCGCCCGATGTCATCAGTTCTCAATTAGGTATTCTTGCTGATTATTTAATTATGTTTTAGTAGCTAGACCGATCTGTTCGAGGAAGCCAAACTGACAATTGTTCTCGATAAAGAATTCCGATCAGTTGTTAACTGAAGCAAGGAATAGATTGTAAATTATAACGCTTCCAAAACAAAATTGCTTACATTTAATCACTATAGAGACCTTTTTTCCGTTTACTAGATCTGCTGCTAGGAATGCTGTTTAACTGTGTCGCACCAGACAATATTTCCCGCCCGAATCCATCTTGCACATTTGTAAATCTACCATACGTACGTCAGTTGTATACTATGGTCATATCCTTGATTTAATATTCATTCAAGAATCCACAAGATGTCTTTGTCAGTCTTAATGTGTACTGCTGCTATATCTGGTCAGGTGTTTCTGTTATTCACCTCGAGATTCAAAACAAAATCCAAAGAAGAATCTGCAACGTAATCGATCCTGATTTGGCATCTCAACTTCAGTCACTTTCTCACCGTCGTGATGTGGCTTCTTTCTGTCTTTTCTACAAATATTTTCATTGACGAACTTTTTCCCGACTACATTTATTTAAGCGTGCTACTAGATTGGCATCTAGGTCTCACCCGTTTACTGTTGAAATAGTTAAATGTAACCGCCACTTCTACTCCAACAGTTTCTTTTCTCGCACTTCCTACCTGTGAAACTCTCTTCCGTTTACTTGCTTCCCTGAAGAATTTAATTTTCAAAAGTTTTAAATGCTACGTTGATCGCCATCTTCTGTCTCTTTGAATCCTGTTCATCTTTTATCCTTTCTTCAATCTCCCCTATATCCAGTCTTTTCTCTCATTTTCACTCATTGTAACCTCCTGCATACTAGTGGTATTCCCGTCTTGCTTGGGATGAAA